TCTCTCTCCCTCTCTCTCGCTCTCTAGCTCCCTCTCTTTCTCTCTCCCTCCTCTCTCTCTCTCTCTCTTTCCCGCCGCCACCGTCGTCGTCTGAAATAAAGGCGACATGGTTTCAGCCGTAGTGACGCCACTCGCGTTGCTAGGGCTACAGCACGCGCGCGCCCCAGGTCTCTCTCTGTCTCTATTGCTCTCTTTCTCTAAGTACACAGCAGTTGGGTATCAGTTTAGTATCTTACGTAATATAGAGATAGCATTTGTGTTTCGCTGCGTTGTAACGGGGGTGTGTCGCGTTACGTGTTGTGTACAAATCGCCAACGCGTGAGTGGATATAATATATATATAATATATATATATATATATATATTACGTAACTGGGTCTTGAATGGAACGCAGAGACACTGCGCTAGCGCTTGGAGGGAAAATTAAATTATAGTTGCGACGAAACAACATGAAATCTAGTTCACCTATTGTCCACAAAATGGCGTAACGTGTGTCGTCTTCTGTTGCGTGTGGTGATAGCAGCAGGAGAAGCTTCTGCCGAATAAAGATCTGGTGGCCGGCCAGACTCTGCCACCGATGTACATAGATCGGATCCCCGACGAACTGCTCGCCACGCCTCTAGAGGAAGTAGATCCATTCTACGCGCATAGCTACGTGAGTAATATGTCTACGCGTATATGTATCGCTCAGTCTGCCGCGGAGATCTTTCCAGATCCGGTTTTAATTCGAATCGGATTTAGTTTTGTGACCGGGTTGCGCTGATGTGCATTGGACCGTGAAAAGAAAATGGATCCATTTTCCGCTACCCAAAGGCGCGTTCACACGGACGTTTTTGGCCCGAGCCTAATTAGGCCCGCGCCAGATTTGGCTCGAGCCGAGCGTTCACACGGACGGTTTTTCGGGCCGTGCCAATTTGGCACGAGCCAATTTGGTCCCATCGAAAACGTCAGACCAAGCCCGAGCCAAATTTTAGCACCAGCTTTCGGCGAGCGGTAGAGCGGTAGAATCGGTTGAGAGGTGGATGCCGCGAGTGTCAAACGTGTACTTTGACGAAATAAAGTCAAAAACAGTATAAAAATTAGAAAAATTAGATCAAGATGCACGTTTTCATGATTGATAAATGAATTCGGAAGGGAAGTAAACACTCTGAATCGTACACAACGCCATCTCGCGACATACTGCCAAAGTATCTGTGAGATAATGAATTTGAATTTGATTTTGACAGACAGTATTCACTTGCGTACGTGTGAACACTCCGACTCAAACCGGCCCGAGCCAAATTTGGCCCGAGCCAAATCTAGCCCATTTGGCTCGAGCCAAACCATGACCGTGTGAACGCGGCTCAAGTATCGCTCCGTCGTTGTTCTCCTTCAAGTTCCGGGTCCGGTTTGTCTCCGGTTCCGATGTGTTTCCGGGTCCGGTTTTACCTCGAGGCCGTGCCAATACCACGTTGTTCTGTGGATAGATTGCATCTTTCATATAATAATATTAGCTACTAGTGTTTTGCGATCAAATATATTTGGTTTGCCTGTCAGTTTGTTTGTCATTCCCTTTCCACTTTATAGACATGTAATTTTAATAGCGTTAACTAGTTTTTCAATTTAATTTAAATTTAGTTAACATGTGATGCGTTTATGTGTTTTTATTATGATATCGGATCGACGTTATTTAGTTACAATTTCATTTCGTTGTAGTTTCGTTCGTTTTGTCATCTCTGCCTCATTTCAATTTTTATCGCATAAAATCGAAATGAAGTAGAAACGGGAATGAAAAATAGACGTGGAATGAAATGAAACATTTACTGTATTATTTTATGATACATTGTAGTTTATACATTTGCTGCATCAGCTGCAGCTGCCGGGGTTCTATTGTCGGCTGCTTGAAGCAAAGGTGCGGCGCGCGTGTATGGAGGAGAGGAGGGAGGGAGTGATACAGCTTGTGATAAAGCGCGGTCGTTGGTTACTATAGCTCCGTGTTAGCTTCCGTTTTTCAAGTCGATATCGTGTGTGTATGCGAGTCTATCAAATTCATACCTCGTTTAAAGTTGACGTTATCAATCGTATGTAGCTAGATAGCTATATACATAGCCATTATATATGTATATATATATATATTATATTGATAGATAGATAGATAAATAGATAGTATGTTGTTCACACTCTAAACTTAACAGCAGCTCGCTGTCGATATATGGCAGCACAGAAACTCTTTCATACAATCAGTCATGTCTTGTGATTTCATTAAGGGCCAACCTCTAACTTTCTCGCCCTCAGCAACTTCAACTTCAGAAAACGAAGCCAGTGTAATTAGATAGACGGTGGGTTAGTATGTGGGCGACCCTACATTAGTGCCTCGCCCCTTCTCTTGAGATTGTCGTTTGTCCGAAATTGCTACACCGACTATTACCCTTACTATAGAAACGCAGTCATAACGCATCCAATCAGAGCGTAGATCCGAGAACACGTGACCGCGCAAGCAGACGAGAGCCACCGGTACCGATTCTATCCGCGAATTCCTTTCAATTTACGCAAAAATAAAAATAAACGAACTCCAGTGGTCCGGCACGCGCCGGAACCGGAAGTTTGGGTCAGCCGCGTGACCTAAAAACTTCTTAGCATTCCCCCGGAACCGGAAGCGAGGGTCAGTCGCGTACGTGACACTTGCTTCCGGCGTTCTCCAAAGCCTTAAGCGAGATTAACCCGCGTGTTCCTGCCCCTCCCCCACACCGGGACCCCCCCCCCACACACACGCCCATGCTGTGACGCGTTCACCTACCAACGTCACGTGCGCGTCTGCGTTTTCGAACGTTTGTAATATTATGTCGCCTCTCGTTCGAAAATTCATTACGAGCGTGGTGTTGTCGAATAGCGGGGAAAGAGAATCGATAGTCGGTCCCTGCTGCGTGAGCCAGTGTAAACTCTGTCGGTCTCTCTCTCTCTCTCTCTCTCTCTCTCTCTCTCTCTCTCTCTCTCTCTCTCTCTCTCTCTCTCTCTCTCTCTCTCTCCATCTTTTTCTTTCTCCCTCATTATCGTCGTCCTCTCTCTCTCGCTTATCCTTTAGCTTGCTCTCAGATCTCTACTTTCTGTCTCTCTCTTTTCTCGACCTCTCTCTCTCTCTCTCTCTCTCTCTCTCCCTTCTCTCTTCTCTTTCTCTTTACCTCTGTCCAGCCGATTGGCCATTTAGTAAATCCCGACGGCCGATAGTAAAGCCAGTACAAACGTGGCCCTTAGTAACTTTTTTAAACTTTTTTAAATTTTCAGGAACCACTCCCAGACGTGCTGATTCTGAGAGGAGCGGTAGTTCACCTCTAGCTGCAGTAGTTCTCTAGGCCTGAGTCTCTAAGTTATGCGAGTACGAACTAATTCGGCTGAACAACTTATATATTATATATATATATATATATATATATATATATATATATATATAAATTAACACAACTCTGAACCTTGCCCGAATCGGTTGCCAATCATCATAAAATCGTTTATATTCACAACAAGATTCAAGATTTCAAGTTTCGAAGATTCAAAGATCAAGATTCAAGGAACAGAGGATGACTTTGCATAAGGTACTATTAAGAAAACAATTGTCCATATATATATATACTCATACACAAAAATGTCTTCTTTGCTTAACAGAGCATTTCAATATCGATAGTTTTGCTGTCAGAATATCTCACCTTGTACGTAATAATGGAATATCTCACGTGGTAAAGCGTTTCTAATAAAAGTTCTCTCGTGTCTGTGTGTGTGTGTGTGTGTGTGTGTGTGTGTGTGTGTGTCGTGCAGTGGTGCGTATGCTACGTGGCGTGCCTGGCCTGTCGCCAGCGTGCGTGCCTGTGTGTGCGCGTGCATCTCGCGTGCGTGCCGCTCCGGAGCATGTGTGCGTACTTCCAATCCCCTACCGTTGGGTGGCCGTATCGCTGTGCCAGTTGGATCACGCATACCCGGCGTACGCAATATATACAAATTCCCGTTTAATCACATTCAACGCCGGCCCCCACGTACGTAAGCAGCCAGACCACGCACAACTCCCCTGCACACACACCACGACGCACACCCGAGCCACACCCATATACATGCCCACTGTCACACACATACACACAGACTACAACATCAACATGCACGTTCTCGCACTACCACATCTACCACATGCACACACACACACAACATCTCCACACACGCACACAACACACACACACAACACACAACACCACAACCCACACACACACCCCACTACACATGCACACACGTCGCAGCACACACGCGCGCGCCACGCACGCACGCACCGCGCGCGCAACACACACTTAATAAGTGCAAACGCCAGCTTTAGATCTTTAGAAAATTGCAATACGTCAACAGCAAAACTGCTGCAAACAGTTTTTAAAATAAACTCCACCTCACTAACGTCCTCTAAGATCAGTGACTTGAGCAGATGGGACCTGACTCTATGCTCCGTTCCTCCCTTTGTTGACAATTCGCTTGTACAACACGTTTACCGTATGCTCTGCGTGCTGTATGGCATACAATCCGTTCCCTGGCGTTCCTCCCTCTCGATGTACCACTTCCTTTGGCTGCTTCATTTTGAACTTTAATCATCTGTCAGGCTAGTCTTTTATTCAGATCTACGCATCTTACGCAATTTTACTTAGCAAAACGCACCTGTTAAGTTGATATTCGCCTGAGTAACTTTCCATTCATTTTCCTCATGCCAGAAAGATCCATAAAGCGCCGTTTTTTTTAACCATTCGCACTCATCTTCATCCCGTCAACATGATACCTAAAACATACGATTGAGGATGTGTTTGATAATTTGCTCTGTCCCTCAAAAGAAACGATTAAGGCTAGCTTCCCTCTACTTTTCTCTCTTTCATCTCAATTCAACCGTGCAGTTAAAAATCAGCTAAAGCAACATCTAACTTTGACAGGCGAATAGTGGAAAGCGCACATCCTGTAGTGCACCCGCTAAGGCAATCCCGCGTACATATAACTGTTTCGAGTGTGCGGGATGACCGCACGAATCAGCTGCCTTCAGCAGCCCGGTAGAGAATCGCTGATTAAACGAATGCCCTCAAAAACTTGACTGAACTATCGTATCTTCGTTCCTCCTGTCTCTCTCCTACTCTCCACCCAGCCAGAACCACTAACCGTAAGTACGTCCTGATCACTCACACACGACAATGGTCGTATCAGTGCAGCTACAGAACGCGGTAGTGACCGCCAACATCAAGGACAGTTGTCATAAAGAGGAGGCGCAAAGCAGCGCACCCAACACTAAGAGCACGCCACAACAGTCCCAGCAGGTCTCTCTCTTCAAAAATGTCTCTATTGCATCTCTTTGTCTCTAAGTTAGCAAAAAATACCTAAACAGCAGTTGGTATCAGTTATGTATCTCTAACTTAAGAGATTATTAGAAGCAGCAAATGACTATTATATAAGTGGTTTAGTGGTCTACGTACTGTTACGCTGCGGGCAATAGTTAAAACGGAGAGCGGCGAATTTAGAATTCACGACCGAGCAAGTTGAGAACAATGCGCTAGATAGTGTGATAAACACAAAATCGCCAACCGATGCGAGAGTGCAATATGAGAGTCATAGGAAATGGTAACATAGAAACCATTAAATAAGGTAATTAGTGAGATGATAACAAGCTCCATAAAATTGTAATAGATACTATATTTTAATACTTAGTCTATGGCTGTACTATATAAAAATATCTGGTAGTGTATTCATCTGTATAAAACGAATAGTGGGTATCATAATGAGAATTATGAGAACAGCCAAAGAAGAAACAGACAGGGACCACACTCTGAACGACTTGAGCGAGACTTTTGGCTGATAGAATAGAATAGAAAAAAAATAGAGAGTTTCCAGGCGACGAAACAACATGAAATCTAGTTCACCTATTGTCCACAAAATGGCGTAACGTGTGTCGTCTTCTGTGCGTGTGTGATAACAGCAGAGAAGCTTCTGCCGAATTAAAGATCTGGTGGCCGGCCAGACTCTGCCACCGTGTACATAGATCGGATCCGCCGACGAACTGCTCGCCACGCCTCTAGAGGAAGTAGATCATTCTACGCGCATAGCTCATGAGTAATATGTCTACGCGTATATGTATCGCTCAGTCTGCCGCGGAGATCTTCCAGATCCGGTTTTAATTCGAATCGGATTTAGTTTGTGACGCGGTTGCGCTGATGTGCATTGGACGACGTGAAAGAAAATGGATCCATTTTCCGCTACCCAAAGTGCGCGTTCACACGGACGTTTTTGGCCCGAGCCTAATTAGGCCCCGCCCAGATTTGGCTCGAGCCGAGCGTTCACACGACGGTTTTTCTCGGGCCGTGCCATTTGGCACGAGCCAATTTGGTCCATGCGAAAACGTCAGACCAAC